TTTTCTCATGCTATCATAGTAATCTGAACAACAATAGATCAGAAGTTATACAGATGGAGACGACCGATAGAAAGTCTTCGGTCAAAGTTTCGGGTTTATTGATAATTCGAAGTGAAAATATACCATTCCTGGAATATGTTAGCAAATGCCTGATTATAGGATTGGAGTGTACGGCGTTCAGATTGCATGTGAATCAAAGATCTCATAAACACGAAATCTAGGTCTAGGAATTACTACAGATTACCTTCAACCAGTCTAAATCTTATCACAATCCATTCAATATAGGCCTATTTAAACCAGTAACTAAATCGGTTAATGCTCAATTATTAACCAGTAGTGAATCAAAAATATGTTGATGTTGTTCACATTTCAGATTGAACTTTGATCGCCCCCAAATGCACTGATATGGCTGATAGTAGAGCCCTATCTCTTATACGGTCACACGTATGCAGTCTCTGCCAGGGAAGTCCTACTCACTTCATTCTCATGACCAGGGTGTTGCTTACGAAAATGAAAAAATGAAAAGCAAATGTTTGGCAGGGGCTTTAACCGGGTTGGTGGATAATAGAGGATTCATTCAGTGGAGTTGGAAAACCTTAATTCTAAACCAATAGTACGCATGGGCTCCAGTATCTTGAATTATACAGAATCTACCCTACAGTCAACTATCTCTTTTGTATAAAACATGTTTAATAATTCCTTCAAAAGAAGAGAAGTACCCCTTTTCAGGTCACAGCTGTATTATGAATAGTTTTGAAAATCTTATACATTCTATATAATGAAAACTTGAGACACAAGTTTAATTTTCATAGTTGAAATCATGAGTCAATTGAAGCTAGACCACCATGGAAAACCTGGAAGCACTGGACGGCCGTTTCGTCCTATTACGGGACTCCTCAACAGTGCGCATCCACGATCTCGCCTCGCGAGATTTGAACTCAGGACCTACCAGTCTCGTGCCGTAGCACTTAACCGATAGACCACTGATCCAACGGTGTTAATGTCTAACTTCAACCAATCCACGATTTTAAGCAACCGTTCACCACTTGTCTTCAGTGAGTTGATATCTTTACAACAGACTTGGTAGAACTCCACTGGTCACTGCTTCTCAATAGTTTAATTGTTGATATCTCAGCTTAAATAATCTACTACCCTGAGGGTATAACAAAAAATAGAAATCTAAAAGATGATTTACTTCTAAGTTAAGGTTAACTTACAGGGTTTGATTAAAATTGTGAACTTCTTGAAGCTCTTAAAAATGATACTAAAATTACTTACTTACTTACTTACGCCTGTTACTTCCAATGGAGCATAGGCCACCGACCAGCATTCTCCAACCCACTTTGTTCTGAGATTTCCTTTCTAGTTCTATCCAATTTTTGTTTGTCTCCATTTCTCAATGTAATGTGTTCCTTTGGACTTCAGAATTCCATGTGAAGGTCGGTCCCAAGCCCGGATAAAGGAGGAAGGTTGGGTATGAGGTTAGCGACCCCATCCCGTAGAAAACTAACCCGATAAAAAACCGCTAACCAGATACTAAAATTAGCATCAATTTTAATAGTTAACCAAACACATGTGATGAACTTGTAGTGTAAAGTAATTTTCTTTTCTATTAAAACAAAATCTCTCTAGTACATTCTTGAAAGAGCAGTATATTGAACTAAGTTAATGATTATTATTAGTGTCATAGATATAAATAAAAATGTAGGCCTTCGAATGTCTTGATAAGGCTGATAGTGGAAAGAGTTAGCGCTCACATGACAGAGCGTATACAGACACATGTTCAGAGAAGTCCTAATCACTGCCTTCTCTCAGTATTACTGTTGTTAAAAAAATTCAGAGAAAGAAAAGAGAATATCCGACGTATTAATCTGGTCGGTGGATATGCAAGATTTATGTAGAGGAGTTGGAAAACATTGATTTCAAACAAGTGATGCACATGGGTTCCAAGATCCTAATGAAACAAATGGTATATGAACCTATTGATAGTCATCGACTACCATGGAACTGCAATTCTTTAAGTTGCTCCACTACCTTATGGATTAGATCTTTAGGTCAAAGGCTCAAAAGTCATCTGAACTGTTTGGGAGATCCAGAAAATTTCTTGAAAGAAAGGCTTTGAAGACTCTGAGAAACATCCTGTCCAATTAGCAGTCATTAGAAGTTTTACCATAAACATCTAGAAAGTGGAAAGTCACATGTCAACTTTCTGATTAGATGATTACTTATATTGCTACTGTGTTTAGTAGAGTTCCAGAAGTTTTTGGAAGCTCAAGACCATGTTAAACATTATAAATTCCCTAGATTTTCTGTAAATAAACGAACTTTTGGTGTAAAGCATTCTCTTCCATATTTCTCACCTTTTCTTTCGTGTTCAAGTTGCTGTGTAGATTTAGCCTGTGGATTATTATTGAAAGCTTAGGAAATCCGATCCGGAGTTCAATTAGAAGATTTATCAGAACTGACGTTACTAAAACATAAAGAAACTGTATACACTCATATCAACATCGTAGAATGACAAATATCTTGGTGTTGTATCAGCTTTTCATTCTTTATAACCTTCAGTGAAACGTCTGACTCCTTATGAAAAAAACCTGTTTTCTTTTTTAGTATGTTATCTTGATAAATGATCTCCATTAATTCATTATTTTCCTGAGTGTTTTTTTTTCAATTTTCAACAAACACTTGATGTTTTCATATTTGGTCAGAAGGGGTTTTCGTGGATATTTCAATATTTTCATAGTTGAAATCATGAGTCAATTGAAGTTAGACCAGCATGGAAAACCTGGATGCACTGGACAAAGGTCGTTCCGTCCTATTGTGAGACTCCTCAGCAGTGCGCATCCACGATTCCGCACCCGCGAGATTCGAACCCAGGACCTACCGGCTTTGTGCCAGAGCACTTAATCGATAGTTCACTGGGCCGGCATCCAACGGTGTTAATGTCTAACTTCAAATGATCCACGAAGTTGAGCAACCGTTCAGCAATGATCTTCATATTTATGTATTTATTAGACAGGCTATGGATAAATCCCTAAATCTTCTAATCACTGTACGACAATGTTACTTACTTACTTCCTTACGCCAGTTAATCCTCATGGAGGAGCATAGATCGATCACCACCATTCCCATTCCAAATCTGGCCTCAACAATTCTTCCCAGTTCTTTCCAGTTCTGATTCATCCTCTTCATGTCTGCTTCAATTCTCGACTCAGTGTCTTCTTCCACCTTTCTCTTTTTCGTTTCAATTCACGATTGTAAGTTATCACTTACCTCCTGATGCAGTTTAATGATTTCCTCAATGTGTATTCTATCCATTTCATCGTCTCTTCCTAAATTCCTCTAAGACTGGCACCTGGTTTGTTCTCTCCCACAGTAGGATGCTGTTGATGGTATCTGGTGAAGGGATATTGAGTGTCATGTATAGACGATTGGTTATAAATACTTGTACTACTTTGATAATGGTTGTGATAGATGTCCAAGTTTCAGCTCCGTACTACAGAACTAACGGTGTTGACGTTTCTATTGAATATTGTGTTTTTGATATTGATTGACATGTAGTTGTTTTATGTTGCATATGTTGTTTAAACTGTAGAAATTTCTTTTTTGATTTGTCAATTATCGCCTTTACATCCGCATCAGATCCTTCACTTTCCTGGATGATTATTCCAAGGTAAGTGAAACTTTACATCTCTTCCAGAGCTTCTCTACTAAATGTAATTGGCTAGATGTTCTCCGTATTGCTATTGAAGATCTTGCTTTTTCCTTTGTATATGTTGAGGCCTACTGATGCAAAGACTGTTGCTACACTGTTTGTCTTCATCTGAATTTGTTGGTATGTATGTGATAGAATGACTAGATCATCTTAACTTTTTTTTCTGGTTAGTGTTTTTTTACCAAGTCGGTTTTCTACGGGATGGGGTCGTTAACCCCATGCCCAATCCTCCTCCTTTACTCAAGCTTGGGACCGGCAGTAACCCCTGGAGGAGCTACAGCTGGAGTTATCTGCAAAATCAAAATCTTCTAATATGATTCTCAGCTATATATTATATCCCATATTTTCCCTCACATATTGAGGTCTCCATTTTACAATCATATACAACAACAACAACAATAACTAAATCAACCCATATTATTATTTTAACAAATATGAAAAATTGATTTATTTTGTGTAGAAATATCCATTATCCTATTAGTTACATGATAGATTTTCTTTACTGTCGCCTTTCATCTCTATCTCTTTCTCTTTCCTTCATGTAACTAGTTAAATAGATAGATATCACCACCCTAACAATTTTGGTTCGTAAAAAAAAGAAGAATAACGATAAGTGTATTGTTTTTTTCTTTATTTTCTTTTCTTTTTTCTCTTTTTTTAAAAAAAAAAAGAGAAAAGAAACCCAATATTTTATTGATAGAAGCAGTTGTTCAATTCTTCTTTTTTGTTCTTACTAGGGGAGACAAGCCAAATGTCGAAGGAAAAAAGAAAACTAACTAACATATAGATCTCTATCTCTCTCTATATATATATCTCTCCCGCTATGGATTTCTTTAAACATTCATTAGTGAAAGAAACAACAACAACAACAGCGATGACAACAACAACAACAACAACAACAAATAACATTCACAATGATAGTATAGAGATGTCCACATGAACATTCTTTAACAATGTACTACATTCCACATAGTTGGTGGTAACCACTAAACAAAATAAATCATAAATCATTTTCAAAATAGTTAATTTTGTATATCCATTTAAGTAGTATATTTCATTGAAGTAAAGAAAAATAGATAAGAAATAACAATGATTAAAACTATTTGACAATTTCTTTTTTAATTTTTACAATTGACAAATTCTATGTTTTTTGATTGGTTGAAAATTATACCGTTCAAGGTCACAGGATAGATGAACCAATAAGAATAGAGTGTCTATTTAAATTTCAAATTTTTTTTTAAAAAATTGATGAATAATAAATATGATTTAATTGTAAAAATATTTTATGAATTGAAAAAAAAGATTGACATTTTGTAAATTATACTACTTAAATACATTAACTTATGTATATATATATACTACTTATATATAAAGATTTGAATCTAAATGAATGAATGAATGGAATGAGGAATATTTAATCCAGTTATTATTACTAAAAATAGTATCTAAATTTGGAAGATGAATTCAATCATTAAAATATTTGGATTATTTATGTTATTTGGTAAGTATAATATTATTATTATTTTATAGAGTTGAGATCATGAGTCAATTGAAGCTAGACCACCATGGAAAACCTGGACGGCCGTTTCGTCCTATTATGGGACTCCTCAGCAGTGTGCGTCCACGAACCCACTCTCGCGGGATTCGAACCCAGGACCTACCAGTTTCGAGCCGAAGCCCTTAACCGATAGACCACTGAGCTGGCATCCAACGGTGTTAATTTCTAACTTCAACTGATTCACGAAATTGATCAACCATTCACCAATGTCATCAGTGAGTTCCTATCTCACAACAGACCTGGTTGAACTCCACCGGTTACTGCTTCTCACTAGAACTCCAGGAAATACCTCAAGGAGTCAGTCACTAGTGAGCACCTGATTATTATCAGAAGGGGTTTTGTGGAGATTTTAGTATTTTATAGAGTTGAGATCATGATTCAATTGAAGCTAGACCACCATTATTTACTTGTTTATTAATATAGATATTAGAGGTTAATATATATTTGTTATATCAGAAGAGGGTTTTCTAGAGATTGAATAGTTGAATTCATGAGTGAATTAAAGGTTAGACCTGAAAGAATTGGACGGTTGTTTTGTTGTAGTATATTGGAATACTCTTTGGCAGTGTTCATTCATGATCCTGCTCGTCGGATTCGAACCTAGGATTTATTGGACTTACGCGTGTACACTTAACCACTTGATCACAAAGTGCCCAAAATCATAAATTTCGTGTTCGATTGCCGCGTACAGAATGGTGTATGTGCGCTACTGAGGAGTTCCATACGGCTGTTTAGTGTTACAAGGTTTTTCATGGTGGTCTAGCATCAATTAAGTCGTGAATTCATCTATTATAATCGTTATAAATAAGAAAATTTGTAAGGGTATCATTGTCAATACATTGGACAATTGTTTTGTTTAAGTGTTAGAATTCCTAATAGTGTTTATCTATGATCTTACTAGATATCTTTCAGGTTTTACAGTAAGAACCTAATTTTTATACCAATAAAATAAAAAGCATTGGACAACATTTCCATCCTCTTTTGATGTGATGTCTTCTCTTCTTTATTGAAATATAAAAACTGTTCTTTAGTGAATCAACGAATTGGTATACCTCTGATGAGGATTTATCAAACGGTTGTTATATATATATACATATATATGTAACCATCATTGTAAGCTTCCTATTTCGACTTGTCATTTGTTGATTTGCCTTGCATCGATTATAAATCAAGACTCAGTTTATGAAGATAACATTGACTGATCTACAAAACCAAGTAAACTGAAAAAATCTAAATTGAATGAACTCAAAAAGATCACTAATTTCAATAATTGAGATCATGAGTCAATTGAGGCTAGATCACAATGGAAAATCTGGAAACACTGGACGGCCGTTTTATTCTATTGTTGAGCTCAACAGCAGCGCTCATACACGATCCCGCCTCGCGAGATTCGAACACAGGACCTATGAGTCTTGCGCGCGAACGCTTAACCTCTAGAACTGTTAAGGCAGCATCCAACGGTGTTAATGTCTAACTTCAACCAATCCAGCGAGTTACTATCTCACAACAGACCTGGTTGAACTCCACTGGTCATGACCTCAACTATTGAAATTACTATAACATTCACAAAACCCCTTCTGATATGAAATGACTAATTGTTAAAATATTGTTGACTGAAGATCATTTATATCCGTTAGTGGATAAAAAGTAACTTGGTGTTCAAAGTGTTTAGAAACTAAATACTTCATAGTAAACATTAAAAACTCTTTCAATTAAGATAATATCAAGGTTATACGCTTAGTATGCATATATACCAATAAGAGACTGATCAATTACAGTCCTAAACAACAATGGAAAGATTCAAACAAACAATACTAAGTGAATTTAAACTTCACCCCATTGCACAAGCAAGTGGCTATGAGGACTCAGTAGCTAAGTGGATAACGCGATGGCGTTTGAAGCGAGTTTCAGAGTGAACATCAACGAGTCTGAGATACAGATACACCAAGCTGACGAGTCTCGAATAGGATGAAACGTGCGTCAAGCTTGATTCCACTGTTAGGCCCTATCCATCTTTGCTTAGTAGTGACTTATTATTATTGCTAAACAGAGAATATATATTTTGTCATTCATACACATGCATTAAAGACATCTTTGCATATCAAACTTACTACTTATTAATAAGTAAGTTTCTTTCATTATTAAGAATGTGTGGTAACAAGAGTTATTTTATATGAATAGTTTGATTTTAGGGATATACTTTATGATATTTACCATCCTTCTCCCTCCCCCCCCCAATTCCTAGAATGTTTCAGGTTATTGCATTCCAGTTTGAACAAAGATTCGAACATTATCGACGAATTGTATATTTTCACCACTGTTAGTGATCATATTTATTTAAATATGTAGGTAACATTTTATAAAAATAATAAGATATTGGTTAGTCACAAAGAAATGACTAGTTCAGTTATATGATATATCCTTGTGGGCTAGAGTAACTTCACATTGGTTTTCAGGAGAACCAGATACCATCTAAACCTTCATGTGACAACCCAAACAGTACAGATCGATTTTGTTTAACAGAAGAGTCAAATACCGCCTGCGTCTAATCCAAACAGTATAGCTCAATACCATTTGTAGAAGAGCTAGACAGTACCCAGACTTAAAATTTATAACCTGAATAGAAATGATCAATGTTATATTTACTCAGTATTTGATGAGTTAACGTCTATGAATCTAGATGACATGTTGTTGAATCCAATAGAAACCATCCATTCTCACAAAAGATAACAAGGAGGTCTTGGTGAAGAGTATTTATTTATATATTTTTATTTATTTAAACACATAAACATTGGTACAAGAAAGCACCAGATAAATATGCGCCACACAAATCTCATTTGATTTGTGTGAGGACTAGGACACTGCCCAGGTGCTCAAACTGAAGCATGCGGTCTTCTTAGGGGACCACACCCGGAGCCTTTGACCTGAAGGTCTAATCCACAAGGCAGTGGAGCAACGTCAGGAGATATAGTCCCATGGTAGCCAGTGACCAACGACTGGTTCATACGCCATTTGTTCCTTCAGAATACTGGAGCCCATGTGCACCATTGGTTTGGAATCAGGGTTTTTCCAACTCCCCTAGGTGGACTTTCCGTATCCACTAACCCGGTTAAAGCGCCGCACATTCGCTTTTCGTGCTCTCAATTTCGTAAACAACAGTAACGCTGTGAGAATGCAGTGAGTAGTACTTCCCTGACAGAGACTATATATTCGCGTGGCCATGTGAGAGCGTTTCGAGAGGTAAAGCCGACTCTCCCCACTTTCGGCCGTACCAGGGCATTTGGGAGCCTTGATGAAGAGTAAATAAGTATCATAAAATCTAGGTCTATAGCTTTTATTCATTTCAAGTCTATCTCCTACCTATCAACATGAGATGAATAGTCAGCTTGTAATAAGACAACTATGATTTATAAAGTTAACTTGATCGAATTCATTCCCATTAAAAAAGAAAAAGGGGACAAAGAAAAGGAAAGAATAAAACATTCTAGTCATAAAACTACCACCTCACATTTTAATTGTATGATACAATCTAAATGATGAAAAGTACAAAAACTTTATGTCAATCATCAAATAAAAGTTATTTCCTTAATTAAATATGACATTATTATTAGTAGTATTATCATTACTACTTTTACTAACATTAATCATACTACTTATATTGGGAAAAAAAGTTAAAAATTAAGCAACAAAACTGTCGAGATCATTGTACAATTTTTATTCCTCCTCTTCCTCCTCCTCCTCCTCCTCCTCCTCCTCCTCCTACTACTACTACTACTACTACTACTACTACGACTACTACTACTACTACTACTACTACTACGACGACTACTACTAATACTACAACTACGACTACTTCTCTTTCATATACACATCTACACCCATAAAAACAAATAAAATAACCATATAAATTGTTTAAAATAAACTCATAATGTATCTTAATAATTGAATTCATCAGTGGATCGATCTAAGTAAGACCATCATTGAAAACTTGGAAGTAGTGAACAGCTGTTTCATCTCATTATGGGATTCCTCGACAGTGCGCACCCGTGATACTGAACTCGAGACTTGAAATCAGGACCTTCAGTCTCGTACACAAACGTTTAACATCTAGGTTCAGCGATCTTATAAGCCCAGTGCTTCCAGGTCTTCTATGATGGTCTAACTTCGATTGAATAGTGATTTCAACCATGAAAATACTGAAATCTTCACAAAAACCCTTCAGATTATTCGATTTAAACAACTACTCTGTGGTCAATCAGTGTATATATATTAGTTATGTAAGTGAGCATTTGAAATCAGAGTAAATTAGTGATTAGTTCGCCAGGATGGGATTGTATAAAGAGCATTGAAGTGAACAAGAACACCAGTGGGAACAATAAAATGTATTTCAACAATAAAATCTGAGAACTATATTATCAATATTTCATTTGCAATATGTTAATCAATTGTCACAAACTTAACTGTTCCTTATGCAAATATCAGTCAATCGTTCCAGACTTTCATTATTATTGCATTTCCATACCAATTGCTTTCTAATCCTCTTCTTTCCTCCTAGATCTTCTTGACCTTCTATTGTCAAACATTTTATTCCAGACTAGCTTTATATACTACTTATGTTGATATAAGTAACACACACTACAGTATCAATTCTTTGAAAGTTATAAATATGTTTTGTTGATGAGTACCAGATAGAATAATAAAAGGTTGTATGGAGAGATATGTTTGATATGCTGATTAGCATATTCCACGTTAGGGAAGTTTTATTTTTCTTGAAGAAACTGGTGTTTTCACCAGGCTTCAAAGTTTTCTACATCACCAATAAGCTTTTTCTGTTGATATATACAATTGAATAATCACTGAATAGTGACCTTTGTCATGTTTATCTAATCCATTAGTGTTGATCGAATTTTCTGCCCCCCCCCAGTATGTACGTAAGCTATGTT